CAATCTTTTTATTTTATTTTCAACAACAAAGTAAGTTAATTTAATAAATGTTTCTTAGTGATTAACAATAGGGAATCCAACAGAAGCAATCTCCAGCTTTGTCATGTTTTAATAACTCACTGCAGTTTCACACAAACCAAAGCGATCCAGAGAGGAGGTGAATTTATTGGGCCATACAATAAACAAGCTGTCCCACTCAAGATTAATGCCCTAACAGCAAATTAATTAAATTTCCTTTGCCAATGTTCACTTAGTCTGCAGCAGGTTTGCCCAACAAGCAGGAAGCTGGTGGATCCACATTAAGTGACTCAGCGCGACCAACTCCTCTGCTCTCTGTCTGTTCCTGCAAAGCAGCTTCCTGCTGCCTGGCAAAACCTCAACGACCAGCTAACCAAAAAGCCAGAGTTCAGCCCACACTGGACCAAATTTACTCCCAAAACCATTGGTATCCCTGGAATATTTTCAAATTAATGCACTTTACTGGGGGTTTGTATGACAGAACAACACAATGTAGCATACAATACTGAAGTAGAGGGAAAACTAGATTTCTCAACTTATACAAATTTGGAGATCATACAAGCTGTTTATTTTTATTTTTTTGACAGGATCCTTTACTTTGACACTAAGTAAGTAAATAAATAAAATTCTTTGCAACCAAACATCTTCTGATGTTGCCTATTGGTAAGCAGAATCCACCTCCATGTCACTTAATCTCAATTTGAAAGCAGTTATTCTGCGAAGGCACCAAATTACTTAATTAATAAATTAGCATCATGAAGACCAACAAAAACAGCAGAAGGTCAGGGATGAAGTTTAAAATGTGGCATTCCTGGTCAGATTACACTGAAGTGCTACATGATACATACATGATAAACTTTTTCTGTGGCAGAAGCGATTAATGCTCAGTAAACATCATCACAGTAAAACAAGATGATGGCAACATTATGAGTGTAATAACATTGCTTTTCTGTGTCTTATTTTTTACTTCTCTTTGTAAATTTAAGCAGTAAAAGTTGAAACTGAAGCCTTAACTCAGAGGTATTAAAATTTTACCTCCTGTTCATTTGAAGTGTGCATTTTTGACTTTGTACAGCTGGAGGACACTGATAATTTTTCATGAGTTGTTTCATGTCTTAATTTACCAACTCAATGCAGTTCTTTGAAAGAACAAGTAGCCCAGATAAGATCATTTTAAAACTGTAAGCTCATATTTTGTCAAATTACAAGCACAAACAACATTCAATTGAGATTTTATGTCACAGATGAACAGAAAGTAGGAAATAATTGTGAAGCTAAAGGAAAACTGTATTTGGTTTTTAAAAAGTATGGCATACCTCCTTTATTTTTAAACTACTAAATAGAATACCATGCAACCAAATACCTTCAGACGTAAGCTTATGCTATCCTATGTGTGGTGCAGAAGTGACACAAGATATCGCTCTGTGATCGTCTTCACAACATCTTCATAAAAAATGATGGCAGCAGCTGCTCAGAGATAACAGGAAGATGGGCAGAGGTAAATACAGAGCTGTCCTGGTTGAAAAACTGAGAACTGACATTGGGTTGTATGTTGACATTCAACATACAACCCAACTTCAAGGAACGTTTCAGATCAAAGCCCATTCATGTGTTTGAATCTAAGTCAACTCAAAAACACTGAATTAAATATGACTGAGCTTGAGTTATTTGGTGAATAAGAAAAGGCACCAATGTAAAACTGTCAATGTAAAACTGTCAATGAACTTACAGTTTTATTTAAGCATCGTTTTAAACACATTTTCTTCTCTTTTAAAACGAGGCTCTGTTTGTTCTTGGTGTGATTCAAAATAAATTCTGAAAAAAATACATTGAAGTTTGTGTCTGTAACATGGCAAGATATCAAAACTCAGATATAGATACTTCTGCAAGACACTGAACATAAATTGAACATAAACGTGATCTTTGCTGTGCACTTTTAAATGCAGTAATCTGAAACAAAACAAAAACAGATCGCTCCATCATTTGCATGTAAAACACCAGAAGAAAAACACTATTATGCAGATGAAAACAATAGGGGTGAAGTTATACTGAACTCCATCCAGTGGATGGAATCAGTGATTAATTGCTGTGTAGGATTCAGGAAACGCAGCCAACAGATCCTGCAGTTAATTAAGTCAATTTAAAGTGCAGCAAAAGGGGAAAAAAAGCAACAACAAATAAACGCCATACCAGTTAAATAAAAACAAGTCTTGCTGAAACAAATGTTCAGGTGTTTGACTATTCAGGCTTAAAGCTTCCACTTCTTATCCAGTTTTTCAAACATTTAAAGCACATATGTGAATATAATAACGAGGGAGCATAGCTTTACGGACACCGATTTCATCGTGAATGTCAAGCAGCTGCTGTTCGTTGAGCCCACTTCACAAGCTTCCTGTAAAACTTGGCAAAAAGGAGGAGGCAGCACCGCAGTCCAGCAACCACATGGTGGTGAGCAACAAAACAGAGTCCAAGCTCCTCAGCCACTCTGCCTCTCCCTCCCTGTGCAGGCCTGGAGCCCTCCTCTATTGACATGCAAATGAAAGATCAGCCAGCTGAACAGCTTGAACAAAGTGAACACCCTCACCTCGGGTCTTTAAGAGTCTCTGCTTAGGCAGCCGGTCCCGGGAGTCAGGAATTCATCATGGCAGGGGGTTAAAATTTTAGCACAGCGGTTTGCAGCCCTATAAGGGGAAGGGGCTTTATTTTATGTCATCTGGATTCAAACAAGTCTATTATTTATCCCTGACAAATGTACTAACAGTTTTTTATACTTTGTTGTATCGCTGAAACCGACTATTTTTCTGTCACTTGTCTATTAAAGCTCATACATAATGAAGCACCCCCGCCGTCTTGTTATGACCTAATCAGTGACACTCGGATGATATGGCCCCATCTGCCATGTTGACTGCACATTAACCATAAAGTAATAACTCACAATGAGACAGGTGCAATTTCCAATCTGAATATCATTAAGGCTCACTCACTGCCTGCTCCGGCTCGTAACGTCGCCTTTGTGTTCGTGAGGTGGTGGCTGTGGAGAGCAAGGGCGCTCTATGTGCCCGCAGGCCGTATACAACACACCAGCTGTGAATGAGAAACAAGCAGCTGTCTGCGTGAATTAACGTCCACAGTTTGAAGGGGTGCTGCCTAACGAAAAAAGAGGCTGCAAGCGGGGCCCGGATATGTGACACGGGAGCAATTCAGCCACAATACCGTCGGGTCTGAGCTGAATAAATGATGCCTGAGTCACCAGAAGTGGCCTGCAGAAAGCCACCTAGCAAAACGGGATAGATGAGCAGTGACATGTTTACACAAATCTTTTACAGGGGCCTATTTTTCAAACACAAAGAAAGGTGGCTCAATTATAGCTTCCTTGGAGAGTGAATGGGCAGAGCTCTTAACTCTTAAAATTTTTTATAGTTTTTTAAGAGGAACACTTCCAAGTGAGGTGATCAAAGTTGTTCTTGCCAATCCACTCAAAAATGTAAATGTTTTCTCAGTTAGCACAAGTTTAATGCCACAATAACCACCGTAAACTCCAATTTGGTGTTCCAGTACAGGCATGGGCTGGTTGAGATTCTTGCTAAACATGAGTAAAAATGTTTGAAGCATGTTGAACTTCCCTGTTGCTGAAATGTGCTTTACAAATAAACATAAATTGACTTGACTTGATCCTGTTATTGACATAGGATTCAAAAAGCAGCAAAATCTTAAAAATAGAAAATATGATTGTTTGAGTTACAATAATGTAGTAAACATTTATACAAAGAATTAAGAAAAAAACAATACATTTACACAAAGTTATAGTTTTCAAGTGCTAAGGGCAAATAATATTATAACATTTCACAATGCATTTCAATGGCAAAAATCTCAGAAGGAGCAATTAAAGTATATTATAATCGAACGGAACAAGTAAAAACCAAGCAGGAAAGTCGAATTGTTCCATCATATAACATGAACAAGGCAGTAAAATGCGTTTAGCAAAATGACATTATGTGACAGGATAATATTGATATATATGAGCCTTACCGTTTACTGAACCCTAAATTAAATAGCAGTGTTGCTTTTCTTTCAGCCATGTGATTGGCAGAATTTTTTAATCCATAACTTTTTAAGACTTACACAGACTTACACTAACTTTGTGGAGCATCTCTGAATAAATATAAACAGAATGTTGGGTGGCATAAATTTAGTTTTTGACCTTATAGCTATTGATGGTTTTTTTTAACAAGCGATATTTCCAAACAGTGAATATAATCTCTTCTTGTAACTGAAGACAATGTGCAGTTGATTTATTTCAGCCATCTGGCTGGCAATGTGCAGCAACAAACAGGGAAGGGACAATGATCCAGAGAAAACATCAGTGGCTCCAGGGATCACTTGAAGAGTATGGTGGAAAATGTTGGTGATTTTGAAGCAGTTACTGTGTTAAATCCTCGGTATGCTTTGACACCCATGAGAACTGATCAGCTTGTTGACACATAAATGTGTCAAAGGCTGAAGGTAGAGGTAAATGGGATTCATGTGAAGGAACCAGCCACCCATTATAATTGCAATAATTAGCATTTTATGTCACTGTGTGAATTTAATTGGGTTTAACCCAATTTTTCCATCAACTATACGTAACCAGAACAACAAGCCAAATCCAGACTGACAGAAGAAAAGATCACCATCCTGCAGTCATTTCCACACAGGGATCATTTCACCCAGCAACAAAGCGTGCAAAGCCACCTTCAACCCACATCCACACATCCACCCCACCGGCTGCTGGTGAATTAGTGAAAGGAGAAGGAGACACGGAAATACAGCTACGGGGGGTTTTATGCACTCTGAAGGCATGTCTGTCTCAAGAGTGCATTCAGTGGCTGTCGCGGATTACCTGTCACCTGACTGGATCGGTCTGTCAGCGCTTCACAGTACAAAGGTGGTGCCACTTCAGCCCGTACCAACTAAGCACCAATAACACCGGGCTCCTCACGCACCTTTCACTTGGGTCTCGTACTCCGCTATGATCTCCTTATCCTTCTTGATTTTCGTGGATGACATGGCTCCTCAGGCTTCTGGGTGAGACCCCCGATGATCGAGGACTCTCTTCGGTGTCGATCTCCCCCTCCGACTTGCAGGACTGCGGCGCCTTTCCTCCGTTTTTCCCTTTCCCCCCCTTCTTGTGGCCTCTTAAAAGGCAAGGAGGGCTTTTCGCTATTGTAGTCCTGCAACCCTGAAATCAGTGCACACACAGCACTTGATCATCGGTCCAGTCAGTACTGCATGTTTGGGTTTTTTGTTTGTTTGTTTGTTTTTGTTTGTTGCTTTCTCCTCCCCCTTCGCGTCTACTTCAAGGCTTTCAGCGGGAAAAACAAAAAAGAGCTTCGGACTGTGATGAGGAGGATGAGCGGAGCTTGAAGGTCTCAGGCAGTCAGGCAGGTCCTTCTGTGGCACGAATCATCAGACATGCGTACGAGCAGCGAGACAACACACACGCAGAGAGAGAGAGAAAGAGAGAGAGAGAGAGAGACAGATGAGGCTGACAAGCTGCGCTGCAGGGAAACAGGAATTTTAAAAGATCATCACGTGAGCCTTCCTCGCATTGCCAACCAGATCTCCTTCCCCTCCGCCCCACGCCCCCTCCTGCACCCACGCACGCATTTGCATCACTTCAGAGGACATCACATTATGACTTACCACCAATTTCCTGAAGCCTTACCCTGGTCATATGCACCACTTTCACATGCATTTGTCACCCTTTGACGAACTGCGAGACCCCGCGTTGGGCAATTAGTGTAATTAAATGTAACAATAACATTAATTACCATAGATGGATTGAGTAAAAGCTTTCTCTGCGCGCCTCACTGCCATGGAAACCTTGCATTTATTGTCCCAAGCATTGCAAACTACAGACTTAGAGGGAAATTTTGGGCGATTCACATGATAAAGCAACACAAATTAGACTAAAACTGCCATCTTAATGCAAATGACTTTAATTTAAAAGTGAAGACTGGTTTCTACAAAATAATAATTAAATAAAAAGTATGACACATAATAAGGGATTGCTTGAGCATATTCATCCCTTTAAGTCAGATTTAGTTGAAGCACGTTGAAGCACGTTCTAACGTGCCTCAAATCGAGGCACATTAAAACAGTGCAATTTTACTCTGTTCTTCATTGCTGTTCAAGCTTTGTCAGGTTACATGGAGATTGGCTGCGAACAATCCTTTACAAGACCAGCTGCCAATCAGATTGAGCTCTGGACTTTAACTGGGCCACTCCACCTTGTTGCCTCAGCTATTTCTATGTAGTGGATGCTTTGAGTCGTCTTGCTGGAAAATAAATGTTTCTGAAGCCACAGTCCTCTTCTACATGAAAGCAAATTGTCCTCCCACAGCATGATACTGCCACCATCATGTTTGACAGTAGGCATGGTGTGTTTATGGTGATGTCCGTGTTTGATGTCCGTCAAACATGACACCTACTTGATGGTCAAAAAGCTCCAATCAACTTTCTTCCATTTGACTATTTAGTCTCCAACTTGCCTTTTGATAAACTCCAGTTGAACTTTGCTGAGTTTTCTTCAACAGCACTCACATTATAACTCTTCCTTAAAGCTTTTATTCTTGGTAGAAAAAATAAAACTTTAACAAGTTTAGTTAATCTTAATTGATTTGTAAATGTAAGAAAAGGATAAAGTGAAGCATTCAAAGGGGTGGATTCTTTTCACAGCTACTACATGTGCATTAGTTTTCAAGACTTTGACTGGACCATCCTAAAATATGGATATGGTTCAAAGTAAACTATCATTATTACAGCTCTGGGTGTAGTGAACCTCCACCTCAGTCCTCTCCTGTGCTAGCTCCACCCATCCTTCCTTAAATTTTTCCTTCCTGAAGAAAACTATCCCCACAGCATAATGCTGCCACCTAAAGGTTTCATCTTGGTGTGTGTGCACATGGTAATGTGAGGTTCGTTTCCCACCACACTTGAAGAAAACTTTGAACATTGACACCTTCTTCCACTAGCATAATTGCTTAAGTTCCATTTTCTAAAATGGGACTTAGCTGATTATCCTATCAGGCTGACAATATGTTTTCTGTATTCCCTGAATTACATTTTAGGGCTTTCTTTTAACAACTTGCATCTTGCCACTCTTTGTTAAGGTCAAAGGTTACTTTACTAGTCATCCAACACAGTTTCACCTCTGAGCTGTGAATTTCTGTTGTTCCTCCAGAGTTACTCCCTCAGCTTCTTTGAACTACGTGAATAATTACAAATGTAACTAATTATTCAATGATCTATTTTGTAATTGAATGAGGTGTGTCTGGACCGCCGCATTTACAGTGCTATACTCTTTGGTTTGAGTATTTGAAGAAAGGATTTAAAAGAAACAAGATTTTCACAGTTTTAAACACGAATTGGGAGTAATTCATATATCAATCAATTAAACCAAATGTATGCAAAATACATTTTTGGCCTTACAAAAAGACATAGCAGAAATGACAATATTTAAAGGTTTTTAGGTTGAAAGATTAATTTTGCATTCGACATAAAGTTAACAAAGAAGATCTGAATACATGTCATGAAAAAGGAAGGACTTTGCAAAGCAATGTGGTGACAGAGAAGGTCTCCCTCTACACCGACTGGCAGATAGTGTCATCTGGATGACGCTTCACCATTTTGGGGGGGTGGGGGGGTGAGGGCAGAGGAGGAGATGAGGGGATGAGGAGGTGACACTGTGTTTGTTATCTGTCACCTTAGCTATTCTCAGCTCAAAAAGGAGCAGGCTGTTAACTCACATCCTGTGTCGGGGGAAAATGGCATACTGACACACACCGAGATGTTTGTGTATCATTTATATCTGCAGCTCAAGAGGGAAAGTAAAAGAAAAAGAACCTTGGGGAGAAATATATGTACATATACCCACATGTTCAATACATTATGCAATTTTAATGAGAACTACTATGCTCATTATTACAAATTAAAATATCTAATTATGATTAAATCTAAAATAATAACGCAATAGGCATTTATAATTAATGCAGCAGCCAACAATTATTAAAAAGAGCTCAAAACTACACATATGTACAAGTACATTAAAGTTTGAATGAATCTCTTCTCTGGAGTGAAAACCAATGGATTTCGAATAGTCTCTGGGATTGTGAATCGTCTGCTCCATCCGTGACAGTGGATTAGAGACAAAATCTCGTCTTGTGTTTGTCTGCATGAATCACACAGCAGCCTGCACAGTCTTTGTGTATCTTTGTGGTTCCAGCGGTGAGCCGTAAGTTGTTTGTCAGACTTTGTGTATCGGAAACGCGGCGGGCCCGCGAAGAGGGGCAGAGAGGACGTGTCACTTGTTGACGGAGGCCAGTGTGACTGCATTCTGGTTTTGTTTGTGTTTACCACTCTGACGTCCTTGTTCCGCATGGCTTAGATCTTCTGAGTAGCTGAAAATAACCTCGCACAACAAATGAAACATACAAGTGTCAAATTACACTTTCAGATTTTTCTTTTCTTGTGTTTGACTTTGTCCTGAGATAGTAAATGAAATTTTCATCATCGCTGAGTTTTGAAAAAAAAAAAAAAGGATTCCAGTTGTTGTTGCCATGGCTGCGGTTATTGCACATCGCATCCTACTAAATCGTAACTGTAATTTACACAGATTGCATGACTGAGACTTTGAGCGAAGGAGCTCCTCCAAAGGTGTTGTTGCAACTATTAGAAGTTGTCAACACTGTAATTGCACCTGCTTTAGTTTGGAATATCCACCAGTGGGGATCCTGACGCAGCCAGCATGTCATGATCAGATGACACCATGTGAGGGAAGAAGGAGAGATTTCCAAGCACCTGGGTTGGACGTGTAGCTGGGTTACGATAATAGGAACTTAATAACCTTGTACACTTTAATCTCATTCTAAATACAGCTTTTTTAGTGAAGGCCTCAAAAGTTTGCTTGTGCACAAACAGCATCAGGAAGACCAGGCAACACACCTGACAGATCGATACAAAGGGTAGAGAATGCTACAGCAGCGTTAAGTTACAAAACCAAATCCCACCCTTTTAACATCTCTCGGAAAATATGACAGGCTACAAAAAGAGACCTACATGCAAAACTCTACATGAGGGGAAAGCTGACTTTACATCAGCAGAGAAAGTCTCTGGTTGGAAATATTTACAAGCAAATTTTTACAGAAATATGTAACTTTTTGTTTGGATCTTTATAAAGTTATTGCTGTAAATCTATTATCATCTGTCCCCTGAGCTCATGTACAGAGCGTCAAAGAATAGTCTCCTTCCAAGCTGTTTCTCACATCTCCCACATGTCTCTGAGCAAATATAGGCTTTTTTTTAGCTTGATACGAGTCAGTGCTTTATCTTCTCTGTCAACAGTGAAGGGCAACAGATGCTCTGATTATTGTCATTTGATCACATATTTTTTCTTATAATTTGGTGTGGTGAAGAATATTCACTTTAAAAACACCTTTACTCTAGTTTTGCACATACCACACCATAGGCAGTAAGGCACATTTTTCTGCAGGTGATAATATGAGCGTCTTACAATCCTGCTTGTGTTTCACAATACTTGAATTTCTCACAGTTTACATTAAAAATACTGCTTTTGATATTTTCTTCTCCAAGTAGCACAAATTAACATGTAGAAATGAACAAATTAGCATTGCTTGTTACTCATCCTCTCATAGAACAAATACATGCATTATTTATGGATTTGATCTTGTCATTGCATACCGAATAGCCTCATTAAGTGGTCAAAAGTTTTCTGCAGGATATAGATGTACTCTGCGCAACACTGGCCATCTGCTCTGCAACACTGCTCGCTCCTCATCATGAGCAAACACCCACTTGTCTCTCAGACTTCATGCTTACTAATCACTTGACCTATAACAGAAAGTTACAAAACAACAACAACAAAAAAGTCTTTCAAAAGTATAGCATATCTAATGATAAAGCATTACTATTAGCCTTAGTTTTTGCTGAAGATTCATAGATGTTACTTTAATGGTCAGATTAGCTCTTTACTTGTTTCTACCCAATAAAGCCATTAATCACACACAGAAAATCTGACACACAGGAGAAGACTGTTATGCTTACTGTCACCTTGAGCATAAATGTCATTAATCATGAATGATAAATGAAAACAGGAGATTATGAGGGGTTACATGAAGATGTCTGTACTGGCCAGGAAGATTGGAAATGCTAATTAAGAAAATATTAAATCAGTAGTGATGATATAGTGTGGGTGTAAAGCATGTTTAGAGGAAAATTGTAACTGTGTATTGTCATCATGAGTAATTAATTTGATATATTTTTGATTCAAATATTAACAGGACAGCTTTTTAGTGCAGAATAATAAAAATATATATAGTTTCAAATGTGAAGAAATTGCTGTTCTGGTAGCATAATATGGTTAAAAAGAGAATACAACAATATGTTATTATTTATTTTAATCT